AAGGTGTCGCGGATAAATGAGGGAGGGGCTAATAATCGGCTCAGTCATTTTTAATGATCGTTGAAAGCCCAGATCGTAATCGTGATTAAAATTCGATTAATTGAGCAGCCCTAGGTTTGACTAATCCCAGTTAGCTGGGAGAAATTAAAAAGAGCAAGAGCTCCAGTCTCAGGAAGTAGAAATCGGACTGAATTTATTTACAACAGTGAAAGTGGAAATGCTGAGATCAGTGAAATAAAAGTCCTGTTTGAGACCTCTCGCGTGATGTTTACACACCTTTGAATTATGTAACACATAAAGATATAAAGCATGCACGACTACCTTAAATGTGTTTTACATCAGCCGCATTTGAGGAGTAAGAAAAAAGCTCTTCTTCACACTAACCGGTATGTGTGTGCAAATTTTTTTTTATTATTATTATTATTAAAAGCATTTTATGCACCTACAAATCTTTTTATAATAAAAATGCAGGAAGTGTGTTTAGTTTTAGTCTTCAGTCAGATTCATCCACGCGTCCGACCTGATGGAAACAGTGGTGTAAAAGTTTGACATTTGACCTTCTTAGAGTGGAGTATCTCTACAGTATCTCTGCTGTTCTAAGCATCTTACATTTTAGCATCTTCCTAATACGACCTGTAACGTATTAATAAGAAAACACACACACATGAATAGAAACGGCATTAAAAGGAAACATTTTTAAACAGGCCGACAGGAGCAAACCAGCTCTGGAAACAAACTGATGTTAAACTGAATGGAAAACGCAAAGCTGGAACTCGCAGTGTGAATCTGGCTCATAGCTGCTAACTAGCCTTTGCTCTCACACACAGATGCTTTCACAGCACTGCATGGGTTTAGTCTTTATTTCCTTTTCTGAGATCAAATGCGGTGCACAGCACTCCTGTAGCTGTTTTACCGACTGTTGGATTCGTCTACAAACCTTACAGCTGATTTCAGTAACATAATCACTGCTGTCCTGTCAGCTGCACCTCACAGGGACAGCAGAGAGTCACTCACTTCCCACAACAAGTGCTAACGAGGCGATCTTCTTAAAAAGGTCACCGTCCGTGCACGTTTGTTGTGCACATTGCAGAAATTTAAGCACTGAAGGGCAGAAATAAATTCTAATACTTCGACATTTAAATCAGATTTCGTTACCTCAAACTGTGCCTTTGAGGGGGGTGACCATACATTTAACTCTGATTGGTCCAAATATACAGTGTTTTTCAAGTTTATAAGACCACTAACCAATGTAAGGTTTATGCCACAGCTGCCCAGAGGTTTTCATTGATTTAAAAGAATGTTTTTCTTGTTTTTATGAGTAATTGTTGAGTAAATTAAACCCTATCTTAAGGAAATTTAAAGGGATTGAAAGCACGTTTTAAAAGTGATTTTTCCTTTATTGAAAGGCCAGAACATCTTTGGTGGAAGACAAATGTTTGTATGTGCAGGAAAACCCAGATGAATATCAACAAATGTGGATGGAAACTACTCTAAAGATCATTTCTGGCATCAGTCATTAAGAGGATTAAATGCACCTTTTGTTACGTTTGAGTAAACGATGGACACAAAATGATGTAATTGGATGTTGTTATCCAAAGTTGTCCTCATATTGTTGGATTTTAGATACATTTACTATATTCAGTTTCTCTTAAGCAGTCAGGTTACACCGAGGAGCAGAATGTAGTCGAGTCGAGAAGAAAAAGCCCTTCATAAGTTAATTCTCTGACACAGTGTGAAGCTGATGTGCTCCTGCTGTTGTTGCTTTCAGTCTTTCATGTACGGCGACTACATCGCCTACGACTTCTGGCTGGGGAAAGTGTACGACCTGACCAATCACATCATCCTCAAGCTGTCCAATGGAGCCAGGTAAAGCGTGCGTGTGCAGGCAGTGTGTACTGTGACCATGTGACGGTCTGTTGGATCGCGTGAACGTACGTCGATCGGTGCCACATCCAGTGAATGTCTCGTCTCGCTCCCTCCAGGTGCTCCATGAGCGTGGAAGACGGTGCCAAGCTTTATGATGTCTGTCCACACGTCAGTGATTCGGTACGTAGCCACCGGCTCTGATCTGTCACTTCAGGTACATTCGCTTTGTTCGTGTGTTGTCCCGGCTGCTGCTCAGAGGTCATAGCCCCCACAGAGGCTGAAATTTAAGTGACAGCTGTCTGTTCACCATTTTCTTTTTTTCTTTTTTTTCTTTTTTTGTGTGTGTGTGAAATTGTTAAAATTAAGTTTGAACATGCTCTGATAATGCTGTCCCTCTCCACTCGTGCTGCTCCCGTCTTTGTATTTTATTTCTTCTGGTGCTCGCTGTTATTTGAGGATCAGTCCTCAGCTTCAGGTGTCCAGGAGCCTGTACTATGGAGCAGGATTTTAGGCTTAGTAGATAACTTCAGATTTAATCCCGGGCTTACTCTGACACGAAGGTGCCGCAGGTCCAAACTGCTCTGTGGAGGGTTATGTTTGAGATAAAAGAAGCACACATAAAAGCAGCACATACTAATGCTGGCATTTCCAGGAAAGATGATGAGGATGAGAGGGTCTGCGCTTTCAGAGGCCCAAAGTTTTAGTCTTTCCCTGATGAGCATCATTATGAAGTATAGATCATTCATCCCATTGCTGACTTTTTTTTCTTTCCTCACGGTTTTGTGCAGCTTCAAGAAAAACAAATTAAAAATGTACTTGGCATTGTGTGTTTAATAAAAGTTACACTGATGAAGCTTCATACATGTACTTGTATCTTTGTTATGTTGCGCTCTCACTTCTTGGTTTTGTGACGTTCTTGTTGTTTTTGGGATCCAGGGTCTGTTCTTTGACGAGGCGTACGGCTTTTACCCGGGACAGGTCCTGATTGGTCCCGCCAAAGTTTTCTCCAATGTCCAGTGGCTGTCAGGGGTCAAACCTGTGCTCAGCAGGAAGTGCAAGTTCAGGGTGGTGGTAGAAGAGGTATGCAATCTTTTCTTTTATGCAGCAGCCACATTATGTGAGATGGAAAGCAACTCGTTTAGGGTTCGTTGGTTATTATAAGAGTTTGTTATGCCTTGAAACTTTTCTCGTTTGAATAATAAGCGACTGAATTTAAATAAAATCTTTGGATGAACATTTTGAATTCTTCCCTTCTGTATAAAATAAGAAAATGCTCTTTGATTTTAATCACACCAACAGCTGTTGGACCACCTGGGGCCCTTTCTAAAAAAAATGGGAAGAAACAGTAAAACCATTAAGTGAATTATTTATCTTAATTTAAGCCTTTTGGTGATTTTTTTTGTAATTAAAATGTTTATTTACTTTTACAGCGAAAGCTAGCGATCACTCGAGAGATGAATTCAGGCAGCTGGAACAATATTCTTTTAATTAACACGTTCAGTTGTTTTTAATGAATTGGAGTTTATGTGTAAATGTACTTCTTCATGAATGTAAACACTCACTTGGATGTCATCTTGCTTCCTTCAGGTGAAGGTGGTGGAGCTGAAAGTGACGTGGATCACCAAGAGCTACTCGCCCAAAGGTTCTGACAGCGTTTATCCGCCTGCCTCCACCATCACACAGGAAAACCTCTGCAGGTCAGTGCAGTGACTCATCCACACGTGCCCACTGCAGCTACGTCTGCCTCCGTACACAAGCTGCTCTTGTTACCGTTGCTTATTGGGTGCAGTTTGCATCGTGTATTGATATCGTTTAGATTTTAAGTTAAAGTCATTCTCCCGTTTGGATTTAGGGTGAGGCGTCTGGGCTACTACGACCACACCCAGAGGCAGCTGGGAGAGAGGGCCCTCTACGTATTCCCGGCCAAAGGTGATGCCACACGCATCACCTGTGATGGACCTGAGGGCGCCCCTGTTTTGCCTGAAGACCCTGTTGCCAGAAAGGTGTGGATAAACTTGCACTGGTCTTTTCATGTGTTCTTAATTGGTTGTTTCCTTCTGTAAAGAGCTATTTTTTCCCCAGAGGAGCACATTAGCACCTTAAACCAGCTGCTTTACACAAGAGCGGGGACGATCTCTGATGCTGGTGTATTTTCAGAGTGTTGCTCTCGAATGTTTGTTAACACTCAGTGTTAGAAGGACTGATAGCACCTGAAAACACTCTTTGATCATCTTCAAGCCTTTGCTCTATCTCACTGCTTGTGTGTGTGTGTGTGTGTGTGTGTGTGCGTGTGTGTGTGCGCAGTTGAAAAGGATGTTCAAGAAGGATTCTGGGAAGAAGACAGAGAACGCCGAATTACAAGGTGCCAAAACATCCAGAAGATCATAAAACACACACCCAGTAATACAGCATGTATCAAAAAGAGATCAGATTCAGAGAACTTTAAGAGGTGGAAGGATTCAGTCCCTTTTAATTTAAAAAAACATTTTTTTAAGGAGAATATTCTTGAGTCTATAATCTCCCCACCTCCTTATATTGTTTATTTCCAGTGGCTCTTATATACAATGCTAGCGTATATAAATAACTAGGTTTTGTACTATAGAGCCTCACCTGGTTTACAGAACCATAACTTCTTTGTTGCTAATTAAATTCTTTCTCAAATAGAATTTTGATGATTTTTCCTTTTGACTGGATTAATGTAAATAATCCTTTTTAAAATTTATTTATTTTTTTACTTTGTTTCTCCCTGTAGGCGAGCACAGATCTGAACAGACCGACTCGAATCATCCCAACAACAACAACGGTCCCGCGGTTTCCGTTCAGAACGCTCCAGACTCGCAGAACGACGCCTCGGCTGAACACGGCGAGCAGGACGCTGATGACGAGGCTGCAGAGGAAACCGACGACACCAGGTCAGGGTCCTAGTTATTACCCTTTACAAAAACATTTAGCTGTCTAATTTATCTATAAGCAATTCTAAAATGCTCTAATATAATTTATTATAGCTTTGAGTCATTTTTATTCAAATTTAAGAATCCTTGTCGGTTTCCTTTAATAATAAGAAAAGTATCATTTATAATGTAAGGCATGTTTGAATGAATCTTTTATTTCTGTGCTTTTAAAACAAACATCTATACAAACCGCTTCTTTGTAGATGTTAATAATTTAAAAATTCATAGTTAATTCGTGTAATATTTAATTTCTTTGAAAACATAAGTGAGGGCTTACCATTTTGGTCTAAAACTAAATGGAGGAGAATTAGGTTGACAGTAGGAAACGCTTTTAATATATATTTGTGATGATCCTCGTGAGTGGTTCAGTTAGATTAGAGGTTGTTTTTTTTTTGCATTAGGAAATAAAAAGTCAGCTTTCTGTTATGTCAGAAATTAATTATTCTGCTTATTGTAATTAATCAGCTGAGATGCCCGGCAGATGTTTAGGTTTAGTGTACATCATTAATACAGCTGAGCTGCTTGTTAATTAAAATCAGTCGCGTGTGTGTGTACGTGTGTGTGTGTGTGTGTGTGTGTGTTTACATATCTTTGTGGGGACCAAAAATTGTAAGTTTACTATGCTCGTGGGACCAACAGCCCTTATGGGGACAAAATCCAGGTCCCACGAGTTTGAAGGCATTTTGAGACTCAAAATGTGGTTTCAGTGTCAGGGTTGCAATAAGGTTATGGGTAGGTTTAGGCTAAGTGGCTAGAAAAAGCATTATGTCAATTATGTCCCCACAAAGATATGAAAACACAGTCCAAAGTGGAAATTTGAGCGGGAAAAACTGCTCTAAATGTGACTTCAACATCACGTGGAGCTTAAAAGCTTCATAAATGTGGGATTTGTTGCACAGTTGTGTCTAAAATGTTTCCTGTATGTGTTGAGCGCATAAATTTATTGTTCAACACTGGACCCACATTGTTTCTCATCATTTTATTACAGTTCAGACCAAAGACATCACTCAGTAAACCTAATACTGCACAGCCTGACTGAGGGGAAAAATGAGTTTTTGCATGCTTAATACACAGAAAATTGCTTTTGCATAAAGAACTTGTTTCCCTCGCTGCAGCTCTTTAACGTCATCAGCGAGCTCCACAGCCTCCTCTCAGAGCGGCGGTCTGGGAACCAACCGCAAGAAGAGCATCCCGCTCTCCATCCGCAACCTGAAGAGGAAGCACAAGAAGAAGAGGACAAAGTTCTCCCGCGAATTCAAGCCCGGAGACCGGTGGGTTAAAATCACAAACGCCGGCACACGAGAGTAAATTCCATCTAGTTTCTTCTGTTTGTCACCAGAGTTCGAGCAGCTCTTCTGGCTGTTTAGGAACTTAGCAGTCCACTGTTTATGTTTTTAGAGTTGTCTGTAAGAGACGTGGGAATGACACCTGTTCCTGTTAAATTTGCAGCTGCTTTCTCGGAAAGACCTGCCATCTCTCGCTTTGACTGCATGTCTGTCCATCCAGCTCTCATTTGTCTAAGGGTTTGCGACTCGATTCGTCAAGTCTTTCAGTGATGGTGTCATTTCCTCAACCACACAGACACACTCATACTCGGCTCACACGCTGCATTTGAGGTTAAGTGTAAGAGTGTTCCACTTTTGTACTGCACACTGTTATCACAATGGATGCAGCAGGACCAGACGGATGGCAGTGAAGCAGGATAAAAGTCATCTGAGGAAAACTGAGAAATCGGAGAGAAGATTGAGGTCTCTGCTATCTTTTTCTTTTTTTTCTTTTTTTTTTGCAGAGTGGCAGTGGAAGTCGTATCCACGAATACCACGGCTGATGTGATGTGGAAGGACGGCCGGGTGGAGAAGGGGATCCGATCGAACGACCTCTACCCCATCCAGCACCTGGACAGCCACGAGTTTTGCCCCGGCGACTTTGTAGTAGATAAACGACGTAAGGAAAAGCTTTTATCTCAGATTTGATCTCAGATTGGTGGGTATTTTTGTGTATGGGCCTCTCTGCCACTTAGTACCTGCAGTATGTAGGTCATTTTCTGTAACTGTGCCAAAGCGTCTCTGTAAAATGGCCTGAATACACCGGGATTTACATCACAATGGTGATGTTACAGCCATGTACGGTAGTGCCATTCGGCAAATGAAAATGTTTTTATGTAGAATCCATAGAGGTTAACTTCACATCATAATATTCTTTAAAACGGGAATCCAAAAAGTACAGATATTTGTGTTTTACAGAGTTTACTTTGATCTCTAAGCTATGCATTGTGTGCTCACCTCAGCCCAAGCGCTGCAGGACCCCGGGGTGTACGGCATGATCCAGTCTGGCGATCACAAAGGCAGAACGTGTGTGGTGAAATGGATCAAACTCAACTCCACCAGTGACGACGTGGAGGTCAGTCAGGAGGAAAAACAGCGATTGTGATTTAAAGCTTGTGAAAACGATCAATGTTTGAATGTTTGTGGGCGACAGAGGTACGAGGAGAAACAGGCCATAAACGTTTGTTTCTGTGTTGTTTAGGTCATCGGTTTGGAGGAGGATGTCAGTGTCTACGACATCGCTGATCATCCGGACTTTCACTTCCGCACGACCGACATCGTCATCAGAATATGGAACTCGGAAAACGGACAGAACGACTGTGAAAATGAGGTAAAGTGATGCGACCGACCGCCCAACACACGAAACACTCAGTTTCGTTTTGTTTTTTTGTTTTTTTTAAGAGTCATGAAAATGACGCGTGTCTTTCTCCTGGACTGTAAAGGTTATGAGAACTCAAATCCAGACAAATCAAGTCCACATGTTAAGCCCACCTTCTTTGTAAGTTGAGGGCCTTCAGGGCTTCATTCATCAAGTTGTTATACAGAAAAATCGTAACGGCTGATTCTGAGGAGGTCAGGTGGAAATTTCTTTTCAGATTTGGGTTATTTTTACATGGAGTGAACCTCTACTGATTCCCAGCCTCGAAACAGTTTGCTTCTTTTGCACCTCTCCGTGGGGAAAAGTCAATATCAAATCCTAAAAAGGCTTTTTAGGCAGTACTTCACACACTAGCTGCTGCACTTTTCTCCCTCTTAGTCTTCATATTGTATTGTTGCTGATAATCGTCCCTATATTTGCCTCCTTTCAGACGTCAGTCGGTCAGGTGTACAGGGTGGATGTAAGCAGCAAAGTAGAGGTGGTGTGGGCAGACAATTCGAGGACCATTGTCCTGCCACAGGTAAGCAATTGAAGCTCATTGTGATGTCTGCGTAATCGCAGGTGAAACGTTTGTTTCTGACCCCCGATCGCTCTTGCAGCACCTCTACAACGTGGAATCGGAGATCGAGGAGACGGACTACGACTCAGTGGAAGAAACGAGCAGCGTTCTGTCGACCGAGGAGTGGGAGGACGAGAGCGACAGCTGGGAGACAGACAACGGTCTGACCCCAGAGGACGACAGCCACGTGAACAACGCGGATGCCACGGATACTGCGACGCCGACCCCGACGCCCACTGGCTCCACGACATTCATCATCCCACCGCAGGAGGGCAGCAAAGCCGGGGTTACCAGCCCCACCAAAGGAGTCTCAGGAGAGGAGGGCGAAGCGTCTATGGCGAGTCCTGCTTCTGGTGGAGGTAGGAACTCATTGGAAGAAGTTTCATCCACAAAAAAAAAATATTAGTCTGGTCTTACGAGCTTATTTCAGACAGCTGTCATCAACAGCTGCAGAAAAAAGCTGCTGGTTGCAGCTGGATGGAGCTGTAACCAGTCAGCCATTAAATGGACCATGTGACGAACCACAGAGAAACAAGAAACCAACAGATGTTGGTATATGAGCTCTCAGATACATCTGCCATCAAACTTTATAGTGCAGTTCATGTCTTTAGGCAAGTATTATGTATTCCAGTCACACGCTGCTCTAAAATTCTGCAAAACATCTCAGTATTTATCTTGATGGCATTTTCCTATATTATATTTCTCGCCTCTAGTTGTAGTTCACTATGACTCATCCACCGTCCTGCTGCCTTAAATACTTGTTAGATGAGCATGTTTGTTTATTAATCTGAAAATAACCCTCAACATGTTCAAATTTTCTTCTTTTTTGAATACTGGATGCTAAAAACTATGATACCTGGCTGTTTAAAAAAAATGAAATTAACCTATAAACTGAAGACTCGTGGATGTTTTTCATGCAAAGAGTGAAGATATTAAAAAATATATAATGTGACGTCGTTTCTGGTATTTTGGTGGAATTTGTTGACCACATTTTATGGATTTATTTGTATTTATTTTGACTAGTTTGTGTATATAAAACAATATATTTAAACCCCTTATAAAAAAATAAAAATAAGTCAAATGGAGCAAAAACAATAAAAATATTTGATGCAGTCAATAATCAAAATCACACGGTGCTTTCGCATCAAAGAAACCGTTTGTCTTTTGCTGTAAACTGCTTTTGTGGTCATTTTGTCGGCTTGTGTCTGAACCGCTGCAGGAGGAGCTGTGAACGGAGCGGAGAAACCCGGTAAGGATGGAGCCTCTCGGGGCTTCAGGGAGTTGAAAGAGGCGCTGAAGATCCTGGAGAGCTTGAAGAACATGACTGTGGAGCAGCTCTGGACCGGTGGCTCCCCAACCTCCCCGACCTCCGTCGAACCCGCTTCCACGACTAACGTGGCGAGTTCGGTGACGCCGACGACCCAAGAAAAACCGACCAAGGAGAAACGCTTCCTAGACGATATCAAGAAGCTCCAGGAAAACCTGAGGAAGACTCTGGACAACGTGGCCATCGTGGAGGAGGAGAAGATGGAAGCTGTGGTGGAGGCAGTGGGGAGTGTGGGAGCAGGGATGGAGGCGGGTGTTAAACAGGTGTGTACAATCATTTTGCTCTTACCTCGTTTAGATATCTCCGCTCATTAGACCGCGTCTTACCTGTCGCTGCGTTACAGGCAGAGAGAGCTGGAGATGAAAAGCCCCAGCAGGAGGCGCAGACACCCGTAGGTCAGCAGGAGTGGCCCAGTGAGATTCTCAGTGACACGCCGGTACTGTGCCAGCAGAGCGGCGGCAAACCCGGTGTGACATTTACCAGTGCCAAGGGGGAGGTGTTCTCGGTGCTAGAGTGGGCACCAGGTAAGACATTCAGATGTGTAACCTGTGACTCTCTTCCCCCCCCACGCTTGTTGTCTTTGTTTTACACCATCTATCCTCCTCCAGATCTCCTTTGGTTTTATTTTTCCAGTGTCTTGATCTTTACTGAACCTTGCTCGACTGTCTGAGGCAGGAATTTCTGTCTGTTAACTTTACAAAGAAAAAGTACTGACAAACCACATAAATGCGCTGAGATGTTGCTGTTGGTTTTTCTCCAGAGCTGAAAAATGAAACTTGAAATGTTAAAAAAGTGCACTTCCTTTAAGCTGGCTTCAAAAATAGAGACAACAGAAGTTTATTTACAGCCTGCAGGAAAACTGTTATGGCCTCTGCGGATGGTTTCCCAAACTCGCCGTAGCTGATAACTAAACACCCCGCCCCCTCATCCAAATATGGTCAATTTTGGCTCCAAAACACAAACACAGCTGCGGCCAAAACACAGATGTTGAGTCCATGTTTGCTTTATATGGTTTATGGGCACAATCGGGTGGTTTACATCATCGGTGTAGCTGAACCTGTAAGTCCAGTAGAGACCTGCAGATCGTTCAGGAGGACAGAGGATGAACGGCAAATACAATAAATATACACGTCGTGTCAGAAGTGGGTCAGATCACCATCAGCCTGATCTGCTGCTTTAGGATTTATTTTTTCCCTGCATGGTTTTCACTAACACAGTCGCACCTGTGAACGCATCGTTTTGTGTACTGAATGCTCAGTTAAGATAGATAAGATAAGTTAGATTTCTTTCTTACTGTGGTCGTGTTCAGTCATCATTCATCGCTGTCCTCCTTTCTGTCTCTCACAGAAACTCACTCGTTTAAGAAAATGGAGTTCCAGCCTGCGGAGGCGAAGAAGTTCTTCAGCACGGTGAGGAAGGAAATGGCTCTGCTAGCGACATCGCTGCCTGATGGCATCATGGTCAAAACCTTTGAGGACCGCATGGTGGGTTTCCTGTCATTAATGCCGGGAAAGTAAAGCAGTGCATGCTTTCATTGTCATTTTTCAGATTTAAACTTTTCTGCTTTTCCTGATTTTCCACCTTTGGTTTCTTCTCGGAAACAGAAAGTTTGTGAGCGTGTCTGAAGGCTTAAAAGGGGAGGAGCTAAATTGTCTTGTTTACAGTGTAGATTAATTGAAGAGTTGAGTTGAAGGTTGCGTAAAAGCTGAGGATTATTTTGAACTGTAGGTTATGCAAAGCTAGTGTAGTGGAGTCAAAGAGTAAAAATATGGAGCAGGAAATGATCCTAATCATTAAACAGATTATTCTTCTTTAGTAACATGCTCCAAATTTGGACGGTTTCATTTAATGCTGGAAAATCTGTAGATTTACTAAAAGACACTAAACAAGGACACAAATTTACCACCACCTTCATATTTAGGTGAAATTAACCATTTGTAGATATGTAGTAATTCAAAAGCCTTTGTTTTTCTCCGCTGTATTAAAAAAATGCCTTCAGCAGAGATTCAAGGCCACAAATGTGCAGAAAATATTTTCATTCCTTTTACACAACTTACATTTTTAAGTTGGAAAAAGTCGTTTTGACAGCATAAAATGAAATTGCTAGTTCTTAAAAGCCTCATGATCACTAATGGGCCTTTTTCAAACCCAAATGCCAGCATGAGGTTTAAAAGTATTAATAAAAGAATAAATATTTAAAAAATTACAGGGAATGAAAGGCAGAAGCAGCCAGGCTTTACTCTTACGTCTGCTGCGCTGTACTTTGTTCTGCTATCTCATACGTATTCTCCTGCAGACGCCTGAACATCGGCCTCCTTTAGATTACAACATCAAACATGTTGTACTTTTCTTTTGTCGCTCCACCACAGGACCTGTTCTCGGCTCTGATCAAAGGGCCGACTCGTACGCCCTACGAGGACGGTGTGTTCCTGTTTGACATCCAGCTGCCTAACATCTACCCAGCTGTGCCGCCTCTGTTTCGATACCTGTCCCAGTGCAGCGGCCGCCTCAATCCCAACCTCTACGACAACGGCAAGGTCTGCGTCAGCCTGCTGGGCACCTGGATAGGCAAGGTGAGTGCCGGAGGTGTGGACAGCGTCAAGATGGTCTTTGTAGCCCGAGCACATGATTCAGAGTATTCTCAGTGGACTTTTATCAGGTCACTGCAGTACGGTGTTCACCAATCTGTCCCTCTTCTTCATCACCCAATCATAAACAACATCAGTGAAGTGTGTTTCTCCAAACTTCAGCCTGAAGGATTCAGTTGATCACCCTGAAGTGTTTTTGTTAAACCAGTTTAAACTTTTAAATTAATTGGACTTGGCAGTCAGTAGAGTCTTTCTGGTGTGTCTGATGTACGAGGTGTCACATTTCAGATTTTCCTGATTGTAGTAGGTTGGTTTTTTGTTTTGTTTTTTTCCACTGTTGCTTCAGTGTGGCTGATTCAACCACTATGGATGATTAGAGTGGTTTGGGTTTCAGGGTGGATATATGACTCTTGGCAAGAGGGGGAAGGAAAAACTCCCTTTTAACAGGAAGAAACCTCCTACAGAACCAGGCTCAGGGAAGAGAAGAGGGAGACAAGATAGCTGGAGACACGGAGAATAACACACATTTCTTTCACCTTTAATGAAAAGAATAGAGGACTAACTTAGAAACAGCACTGTAACTGTAACCAACCAGGTTATAGTTACAGTTAAACTCTCAACATATGACCCTAAAGTACGAATTGTATAACTGCTGAATGTTTTGGGGTTTAAAGTGTCCGGGCTGCACACACACAGTACCTTTGGATGTTTTATTGTAATCTAATGTGAGAAAAGTGTAATCTGGGGACGACTTTACTTTAGCTTATTGTAGCGTTAAGTGAACTGTTCACTAGTCAGAGACGTCAGTGCTGAGCTGTTTTAATGCTGCTGTGATCTGCAGGGCACTGAGAGATGGACCAGCAAGTCCAGCCTGTTGCAAGTCCTCATCTCGATACAAGGTTAGTGCAATCACACACCCACACACACAGATTGTGCATCCATCACTACAGAGGACCTCACACTGACTCACTTTCATTTCCTGCAGATTTTCTCTCACCCTGGTCTAACCTTTACTTACTCTGACCTCTAAAGCTTGCATTCCTAACTTAACAAAGTACATTGTCCTCACAAGGAAGACACGTCCCCACAATGTGAACATGAAACTGATGTAGGTCCCCAGATTGCTGTAATACCAAGCACACACACACACACTGCTGCTTCTCTTCTCTGCAGCTGAAAATGTTTTATTCATGTTTTCATTTGCTCAGAAGTTACTCAACTAAATATATCTGCCTCACACACAGACATGACACCACGTCCATACAACATCTGCAGCCTGCCAGACTAACAGAATCCAGGTTTTAAATCTCGGATATCTTTTAGCTTCAAATGTTGCAGTTGAATTAGCAGATTTCATAGTCTTGAGCTATTTTTCTGTTTTTCACAAATCCTGATTTGATGTGTGCCTGCAGGCCTTATCCTCGTCAATGAGCCTTACTACAACGAGGCCGGCTTCGACAGTGACCGAGGCCTGCAGGAGGGATACGAGAACAGTCGCTGCTACAATGAGATGGCTCTGATCAAGATGGTGCAGTCTATGACGCAACTCCTCCAGAATCCCATTGAGGTCTTCAAGCAGGAGATCCAGGAGCACTTTGTTTCTAATGGCTGGCGGCTCGTCCACCGGCTGGAGTCGTGGCTGGAGCTGCACGACTCTGCGGAGCGAGGGCAGGCCGCACACCCGTACTCCAGGGCTCAGCACTCCAAGGACCGACCTTCATCTGTGGAGCCTCTGGATGAGCAGCTGGCCCTGGGATCGGGGCCCGTGGCGGTGGCCCACAGCAGCCCCGGTAAGGCGGGGGAGGAGGGATACACGGGAGCAGGCGTCACCAGTATTATGGAGGAGGAGCTGGAGGATTCAGGACTGAGTCCCTCCACCACAGCAGCCTCTCAGCAGGAGCTGGGCAACAACTCAGACTGCGACAGCAACCTGGGGAACAGCTCTCTGGGCAGTGAAACCAGGGGCAGCGCTGCGGGGCCCGGCTCCGTAAGCCGCACCGGGACGTCCGAGTCGGGTTCTGCCGCAGCGAGCGCAGGAGGGGCGGGCTCCTCGGGGAGCCAGCCAGTGGTGAGACCAAAGAAAAGGAGAAAGAGCTACCGAAGCTTCCTCCCGGAGGGCAGCGGTTACCCCGACATCGGCTTCCCGCTCTTCCCGCTTTCAAAGGGATTCGTGAAGAGCGTCCGAGGCGTGCTGCAGCAGTACCGAGCTGCGCTGGCAGCCGCAGGCATCCCCGAGCACACAGAGGACAAGTAAGTGCCTCCTCATCCTTTCCCAGTATGCCACTGCACTGTTCCCTGCTCCTTTTCCTCCTCTTCTTCTACCTTTTCATCCGCCTCAAGCCGTCGAGGAGGATCCATTACTTGTTGTCTGGGAGAGGGGGGCTACAGCTTTCTGTCTGCTGTACCCCTGTCCAGAGCTGCACTAAGCCCCCAGCACTGCCCACATTTTTAACCTTTACCTCCATTTCTTAGTCTTTACTGCTCCTGCTGCCCTGAACTCCACAACATTCTGCCTTTTCTTGCCCCCATAATCGAACCACGATTGCAAGAGAGCCGCACCTTTGATCGGGAGCGTGAGCGGGCTCTGCTCGGGACGACGATTTGATCATGTTTTTGTTTCCTTCAGTGTCCCTGCAGACGAGTGCGAAGCATAAAGAGCGACTCACCCACCTGCACACACACCTGAGGGAGCTGCCTCGTCATTCACACACTGTCATCTTTTCATGGACGCAGGTTAAAAAAAAAAAAAAAAAAAAACAGAAAAGGGGGAAAAAAAGTGGCGCCAGTAAGAACTGTGGTGGCGTGGATGCAAAAAGAAAAGAAAAAAAAAGAGTGAGATGAGGAATCAGTGCCATGTCCTCTCCTACACCCCCTCTCATGATCCCACTAGCCTCCAGCATCCTCTGCCGTATGGGGGGGGGGATTTGCCGGATGAAGAAGTAACTGGGTACCACTGGAAAAACTGCACAGCCCAGCTCCCGGTCAGCGACGGGTCGACTGCAGCTATCTGTAGCACTACTGATGTTATCACTGTACCATCCTGCACTACAACGAGCGAACGAACGAAAGGACAATCAAGTTTGGGAGAGGCGACGCGCATAAAACCACTTTTTCTCACCGGTTGTTACGCTTTCTGCCAAATTCTCTCTGTTCACACACTCACGCGAATCTTCACAGAAGAACAGGCCGAACGTCAGTAAAACTGCCAACCACAGACCACTTCTACCACCACACGCTCGCTGGCATCTTCCTTCGCTCATCACCGGAGCACGCGGCGAACATCGAGTGGCAAAGTTTACATACGAATCAACCTCCGGAGGTTTGTAGCTGTTTGGTGTGCGTGCAGAGGAGCACGCGGTGCGGCCAGTCGGGCGAGTGTATGTGGCGCAGTTTAGTTGTTGGCGGTTCGTACGCCAACGTCGAACTTTTGATCCATTTCAGGTGGTTTTACTCACTGAACTGTAGTCAACCCCACATCACTGCAGATGACACAACTTAAACAATGAAAAACGACAACAAAAAAAATCCACACGGCATCCATTCCGCCATCTCATGTCAACATGTTGCCTTACTTGAATTGTTCTTAATGATCTCTTGTGTACAGAGCTGCTTGTGTCTTGCTTTACTCATTAACCCACGCAGGCCTGGACACGCATTAAAAACCACTAAAATCCTGCTCCAGTGTTTTTTGTTTTTTTCCCTTCTCTCATTCCCCTTCCCACCGCTGCCGTGTTCTGAGTCGTTCCCCCTCCAAACTGCACGTGCCCAGTTGAATTAGATCAGAACGTAAACTGCAGTCGAGTATGAATGTTGATGATATAATTAATCTGCCTAATTGTTCATTTTTAGTTAGTTTTCTGATTCAAGTGGCCAATGGGATGACGCCTCTACAGTAAATATCTTACATTTGGATGAAAGGAGAAAAAAAAGTGGTTTTAGCTACAAAGTTTCCACAAAGCTGTGAAACTCAAACCTTTGGGTCCAATCGTGCTTCCTGAGGAAAATCTGCATTCTGTGTTTACAACTTTTGAAAGAATTGCATTCGTTATTCTTATTCTACTAAATATTATTAGTAATTATTATTATTGGACAGGTCAGACATGCCCTGTGATGCTTTAATAGCGCTGCCTGTGCTGATCTGTGATGCTGAGAAGTGTTTGTGGATGAGAAAGCAGTAACAGAAGAGTATGAACGTATAGAAACAACAAGCCAAGAGCCGCTGCGTTTAGAGACTTATAATAATTAATAAACGAATAAACATGAGGGTATTTTTTTGTTTTGTATTGTCTTCCTTTTTTTTTTTACCTCCCCCCCCCTTTTTTTTTTTTTCTTCCCCTGTATCAGATGTGGAAATCAGGCATCCGTGATTTGTTTTCCTCTTCTCAGATTTTCCTTTTTTCATGATTTCACTGCCTTTACTGCTGCCTCTAGCATCGTTTCCCTCTTCCTTTCTTTTCTTTTCCTTTTTTAAATTTTTTTTTTTTTTACCTCCTGTCATCATGCTGCTGTTCGTAAAATGTCGCACATCTCAAGAGGAGCGCGTTTCCCTCCCCGGCTCCACCGAGAACCAGGAGGTGACATTACTCCCGCCATCTTCATCTTTTGCCCTCGTCCTCATTTATCAACAGAAGCATTAACAGAAAATGTGAATCCATCTCTAGATCTCAAAAGAAAAGTCCGACAGGATATCAAGCCCATGACGCTTTGTATAATTTTCTGTGTATGTGTGTATATTCTTCAGATTGAAACCATTATTATTATTATTATTATTATTATTATCATTATTATTATTATTGCGAGAGGTTTGTTTTACAGCCAAAGCATGTAACATTGTTGCTTTAAGCCTTTCGAATGGGCTACACACAAGACTTGACTGTACGATGTCTACATTTCCACAGTGGCCTGTTATTGATATAATATTTAAAAAAACAAACAAAAAAAAGGAACTCAGTTATAATTTGTAGCCTGATTCCCTCTGTACAGACATCATGACTATATTGAAATATATGAATACATACAGTATATATTTAACACAAACTTGAGTTGTGATGAGTCGGGGCGTAGAGTATGTACAAAATGCTGAGTGTGTATTGTACTTATTGTTTCATCTTTTTAATGGTTTACTTTTGTTGCTTTAAGACGACTGTACAGTGATGTATTAAACTTTGCAAGCATTACCATAGAAGCTTTGTGGCTTTATTTGTGCCGGATACAAAAATAATAAGAAGGAAATCACCTGAAAAGTACAAACTCGGTAATGAATGAATGTTATTAAAGGCGACCTGCTCCACTTTTAACCTGTTTCTCTGTCAGATACAAGCTCTTACAGTGACTTTTTATTTATTTTATTTTGTACCTGTATGATGTCAGAAAGAAGGGAGGTCCTGAATATCATTATCTTAGGCACAGAAGCTCCACCCACCTGCTGTTCAAACCTTCTGTTTGCAAGTTGCAGTCAATCAGAAAAAAGTTGGGTTAAAGGGGGAGGAGCTAAAAGGTCCAGTGTGAATCAAGCCTGCTGCTGTAGTGGAGGACATGCTGGAAATGAACAGGTTCAATTACCTGTGTATCCAAACCCTGATGCAGCTGTGAACGGGAAAGAAAAACAAAGTATGCAGGTGTACGGAGCGGCACATGAGCACGGATGATCGTTTTCTTAACGCTGGATTATCAACCTGTCCGGAGGGAACTTTGCTTCTTGTCTATTGTTTGGATGAGCTCCAGCCTCACCTGTTATCCTACTTGGACAGGTGATTAGGAAGTTGGTGGTTGAATGCACTGGTCTGACTGTTTAAGGAATTGGTCCCTTTTCATTGGGTTGAATTAAAGAGTTATGGCTGCTGTAGAGATGAATATGGCAAAGCCTCGGGGATGGTTCAGCTACACTGCCTCAAGCACACGAATGGTTTGAAACATTGAGAGATGGTGTGTTGTAGGTTTTTTTTGTTTTTCCCTCCAGATGATGAAGCTGAAATGCTCTCAGACCGGGTCGAGGTCAAAATGAAGGCACCAGCGTCTCCAGGTGTTTAAACCAAAATAAATCCGTATCTGTGAAACTGAGATTTCGAGTCAGCAGAGGCAGAAAATTTAATAAAACAAATAGATTTTCCTGCAGCCCATCAGCTGAGATTGTCATATGAACATCATGGGCATGAATGTCATAATTTTGGGCTCTTGATGAGTTCTTCTTTTTCTAGGGTTGGGATGATTGTACAGCATCTTTAATCATTTTAAAAAACAAGAATTAGGTGTGCTAGTTTGAATTTGTTGGATTTTCTCTAATCCACCCAGGGCTAAAATGTATCCGCCTTTATCTACTTTAAAAAAATAATAATAATTGTGTGTTCGGCATCATTAGTGTGTTGGAAGATCTGTGTCCACGTTTCAACTGTCTAGCTCTTGATTTGAGGGGAAGCTGAAGAATTTGGAGGGGTAGTCTTTCTTTATTATTCCACCACTTTGTGTCATGTACCAGTACCACAGGCAGCAAAACGGCCCAAAAGCATGATTCTACCACCACCATGCTTGACAACTGGTACAGTGTTCTTTGAAAGCCTCACATTTACTCCTCTAACCAAAAAGCTCAGTCTTTTCTCCTGAAGGCGTTTGGCTTGTGTGGGCAGCCGAGTCGAGCTTGAAGATGATGATTTTGGAGTAGGGGCTTCTTTCTTGGTTGGCACCCTCGAATAACTCCTTGAGCTTTAGTGGCTCCTGGGTTGTTCCTGAACAACCAAACCAGCTTCCTCTCATCTGAGGATGGCAGTCCAGGTCTTCTTCCAGATCTTGGTAAAGTGGAGACATATGAGCTCCACAATTTCAACAACTATTTAATTATATTTACTCAAGATTAATATAACTTTTTATCAAAAGCCCTGAATGTGGAACATTTGTCCTCAATAATCCTCCCTAGGGTGGATTTGAGTTGGACACATCCCTCATTAACACACCAGATCAGAGGTTTGCAGCGCTGCATACCTACCCACTCATTTTGGTCCAATGTCAGAAATTGTAAAGCAACTTGAACATTTAATCTTAAAGAACTGCGTTGCAGGTTTCCTGTCAGTGATAGATTATGTCTTCAGGTGTAGTTTTGAAGCAGTAACACACCTGAGAGTAAACCTGCAAAATCACCCTGTGATGCAGCTAGATGCAGGACGCATGACCCAGTCATGACTTAAACTTTTCTCCTTTGAGTTTTCTGTCCTTGTGCAGGTGATGATGATGATGATGATGATGATGATGATGATGATGATGATGATATCTTCCTCCTTTGTATTCAGGCCACGTGGACGCAATTACTGTGTCCCTGACCTACATATAAGATAAGCTGTGCAGGCAAACCTTTCAGTGAACATCTGATTTTTGGAGAAGTTCATCCTGACAGCAGGAAGGAGGAGGACGCAGCCAGCGTTTCACAAACCAAACACTAGTTTGTCTTTTTTGTCATAATTCAATTTATTTGTTTCAGTCAAAAGCACGTCAGTAGAGTGATTTGATTAGTTTAGAAAACTTACATTCATCTAAATGGAAAAATAGATCTCTCTTAGAATAAAGAATCAATCATTTAATAATCAGCATGACTGAAAAATAAAATAAAATAAAAACAACTCGTCTTCCCTTCACCGTAAACTTTGAAACACAGAAGATGACAGCGGTTCAGAAGCAGCAGATAAAGACAAACAGCAAATCGTCAGG